TATTCATTTATAATTATTAATATATTTTTTTTTCAAGGCCTTGTCATTTGCTCGATGTCTAAAATTTAATTATTTTTAACGAACTTGATTAATAACAGTTTTTAAATATTAACAATAATGACGATTTAAAGCTTTCCGCAAGTGTTTCACAGATGGCGCTTCAGTGCCAAATTTTTACGTTACTGTACAAATTACAAATTGAATTTAATTCATAAAACACAAAAGAAAAAATAGTTTTATTAAACATTCAAAAGATATAGAACAATTTTTATTTTTTTAATTTTTTTTTTAGTATATTTGGTTATTAATTATTTTTGAAAATAAATGATTACTTTTATTTACGTGTACGTACGCTCGCGTGCAACGACCGTAAAAACACGCCGCACTTTAAGGATTATTTATTTAAATTAACCACAAAGCACTACAGACGCAACGCAACGAGCGTCAGAGTGAGAGCGCCGATAGCAAAAGAAATCGAAACGTATATACATATATATACAATTATATGTATATATATGTATAATAAAACGCACGCACCATAAAATTAAAATGCGGCTGCTGCTGCTGCTGCTGCTGCTGCTGTGGCAGGACTCTGATTCGATGCGCGAGTGTGAGTCGCCAGGAGTTGCGGGTGCCGGCCAAAAACAGCGCAGCGTTGATGCCTGTGCCGACCGCGATTTTGTGGTAGTATATTCAACGTATAACGATTTTCCGATTTTCACTGCTGCTGCTGATGCTGGCTGAAGCCGCTGCTGCTCTGCTACGTCAGCGCTGCGAAACGATTATAATTTTTGCCTTGCCGGCGTCTGTGTTGCCTGGTGTTAATCTCGGCAGCGAAAGAATATTACAAGCACACACACACACACACACACACAAATCTGTGTATATACACGCTCTTCACACACATTCATAAATGTGTGCCGTTGACGTTGGTGGTTGACGTTTAGTGGTTGTCCTTAATGCAGCATTCAAACCAATACCAGCACAAAATAAATATCAAAACCAAAAAAAAAAAAAAAACAACATGCTGGATGGAAGTCTCGCACAAGGACTATGAATCACTGGCCGTAGCACTTTTAATGCTCCGGGTACTACGAATACGAATACGAATCCGAATTCGAATACGACCAACAGCAACACCAACAACAGCAGAAAACAACAACGCAAATCATTCATTCTGGCTGAGTTTTTGCAACCCTGCTGCTTTTTGTCTCTGATTTCAATTTCCATTGAAACTGAATCTAATCATCGCATGCTTGCCGCCGCCGCCTGCTGATCCCTTTGCCACCGACCGTCCACCGACCCCGAGTCGGTCGACTCCTTGTCGTTGACAAAAGCCATTCGCTCCTCTCTCTGGGGGTTGGAAGGCTCATGCATCATAATACCAACTCGAATGCCAAGCAACTTAAACTGCATATATGTAGTTCTGATATATGGGCACAGATGGCAGTATCTGCGAGAGAGTGTGCGTATATGTGCACGAGTGTGTGTGTGTGTGTGTTGTGCTGCAAATTATGGTATCGCATTGTTCAAAGTGAAAACAATGCCAGCATTTGGCACATGCCAAACATTTTCTGTTAATTTCACAGCCAGTGTTGAACAGCGTTAGGCGAGTAATCGATACCTTTTTCTATAACCAATTACTTGCTTCGCTTGTCCGCTGTCCGGCGGTATTCCTCATTCGCTCGCACAAGCGACTGCACGTGGCCTCTGTCATTCTTTGAAGCACTTTACTTAGCAAATTTTTTTTTTTTTTATACTCCCTAAGCATTAGAAGTTTTTTATTTATTCTTTTGTTTCCTTTATTTTTATTGCAATATATTTTTATTTTCTCTCTCCTAGGATTATAGGATTATATTATATATATAGGATTATATTTTGTTCCACAATTGCAATGGTACTAACTAATAATCATATAGAAGTAAAACTGAGTAGGGAAAATTGTCATTGGGTACAGTGCTAAACATTTTCATTCAAGTATTTAAGCATAGGTATTATCATTGGTTTGTTAATCAAGATATAACAGATAATAGAGATAAGAAAGGGTCGTTATTATTAAACATATGAGTGAACCTGTGGGAACTCTCTATAAATGCTGTATATCTATAAAACACAAATATGATAAAGAATAGCATACCAGGCATTTTGCTAAACGAAAAAATGTTTTAATTCTGTCCATGAATTGTTTAATGCGTAAAGTAATTTCGAATGGCCTCAGTTTTCCGTGCCTAAGTAAAAAGCTCTGATGACCATTTAGTGAAAAGCAATTCTTCGTACCACACCAAAAGTCTAACTGGCGTGCCTTCAAGTAGCCTCAAGTAGGGAATCGTATGAGATGAATGTAACGAAAATTCGGAGTTGGAGCCCGTTCATTTTAGTATGTCTTATATAAATGGTTCCCGTGGGATGTTTTACATGTTTATGCCAAGTTAGTTTACGTCTGCAAGATAATGCCTTTAATACAATGTCCGGCAGTTGTTACTGTTTTATTATGAAAGTCCCTTCAGGGAAATACCTATGTTCCACTGTGTACTGCAGTATAGATATATTTTTGATTCAGTGTTGAGGTGAAGGACTACAACGAACAGCTTACTTTTATTTAAAATAGAAAAATTGCTGATTTCTCTGATTGAAGCAAGCGTGAATTTTTTACAGTTTCGAAAATGATTTATTTGCGCTTGGGGCCCTGAAGTTTTTCGGGCATCGTCAATTATTGTGTCAGATGTTATGGGCCAGTCAGCCGTATGGCATTATTTCGTTTCTATTTCCCAAAAACTCTTTGCACCCTATGCGAATGTGGACAGCCCTCCATTTGTGTGTGCATTGTGCGAGTTGTCGGCTCGGGGCCTCTTTATATATAGAGTAATTGCAGAGGTTTTCTACCACCTCTCGATCCCTCCCCTCTCTCTCTCTCTCTCTCTCTCTCACTTCCACTCACTCTGTGCTTCTCTCCCCTTCTGTTTGTTTCATTTTCGCTCTCACATTTGGAATTGTTCGCATACTAATTCAATTTTTATACTGCATTTACATTGCAATTTATTTTCCACCCTCGAATTAAATGTTTGATTTTCACATTTCATCAATA